CTCCTACTACCCCGGCTACCTGGAACCCCACCCCTCCCCTCCTAACCCAGGCTACCTGGAACCCCACCACTCCCCTCCTACTACCCGGCTACCTGGAAAACCCCACCACTCCCCTCCTACTACCCAGGCTACCTGGAACCCCACCATGCCCTCCTACTACCCAGGCTACCTGGAACCCACCACTCCCCTCCTCCTACCAAGTCTACCTGGCACCCCACCACTCACCCTCCTACTTTCCCAAGTAACCTGGGACCCCCAATTTCCCTCCTACTACCCAAGCAACCTGGCACCCCACCACTCCCCTCCTACTACCCAAGTAACCTGGCACCCCACCACTCCCTCCTACTACCCCAAATAACCTGGCACCCCAAACCCCTCCCTCCTACTACCCGACTACCTGGCACCCCACCCCCCCGGTCCCCTCCTACCCAGTCACATGCCCAACCCCTCCACCTCCCCTCTACTACCCAGCCTAACTTTCCACCCCACCACTCCCTCCTTACTACCCAGGCTACATGACACCCCACCAATTTCCCCCTTTAACTAAACCAACTGCCCGACACCCACTACCCCCCTCCCGCTACCCAAGTTGCCTGACAACCCACCATCCCCTTCCACAACCCAAGCTGCCCGACATCCCCCCCCCCCCCACCCCCTCCCACAACCCAAGCTGCCTGCAAACCCCCCCACCCCCTCCCCCACAACCCAAGCTGCCTGGAACCCCACCCCACAACCCAAGCTGCCGGGCACCCACCACCCCCCTCCCACAACCCAAGCTGGCCAGGGAAACCCCATTCCCCCTCCCACAACCCAAGCTGCCTTTCCACCCAAACCCCACAACCCAAGCTGCCTTGCACCCCACCCCCCACAAAACCCCAAACTGCCCTTGCACCCCACCCCCCACAACCCAAGCTGCCGACACCTCAACCACCCCTCCACAACCCAAGTACCCGACACCCCACCACCCACAACCCAAGCTGCCTGGCACCCCCACACCCCCTCCCACAACCCAAGCTGCCTGGCACCCCATCCCCCTCCTACAAACCCAAGCTGTCTGGAACCCCATCCCTTCCCACAACCCAAGCTGCCTTGTAAACCCCCCCCACAACCCAACCTGCCGGGCAACCCCACCACCCCCTCCCACAACCCAAGCTGCCAGGAACCCCATCCTTCCCACAAAACCCAAGCTGCCTTGCAACCCATCCTCCACAACCAAGCTGCCTTTCACCCCACCACCCCCCCCACTACCCCAAAGGGGCCCAACCACTCCACCCCCCCTCCCACAAAAAAGCTGCCCCACACCCCACCACCCCCTCCGACAACACAAGCTGCCTGGAACCCCCCCCCCTCCCACAACCCAAGTGCCCGACACCCTACCACCCCCAGCACTACCCAAGCTGCCCGACACCTCACCACCCCCTGCCCCTACCAAGCTGCCTGACACCTCACCACCCCCTGCCACTTACCCAAGCTGCCTGACACCTCACACCCCCTGCCACTACCCAAGCTGCCTGACACCTCACCACCCCCCCCTGCCACTACCCAAGCTTGCCCGACACCCCACCACCCTCCAATACCCAAACGCTTGCCGACACCCAACCACCCCCTCCCCCTACCCCAAACTGCCGGCCCCCCCCAAACCACCCCCTCCCCAACCCAAGCTTCCTGCACCCCACCCCCCCCCTCCCACAACCAGCTTCCCCGCCCCCCCCCCACCCCCTCCCACAAACCCAAGCTGCCCGGAACCCCATCCCCCCTCCCACCCAACCCAAAACTCCCCCGACACCCAGCACCCCCTGCCACTACCCAAGCTGCCCGACACCCCACCCCCCTGCCACACCCAAGCTGCCCGACCCCCCCCACACCCCCTCCCCCTAAACCCCAAATGCCCGACACCCCCACCCCCCCCCATACCCAAGCTCCCAAAACCCACCACCCTGCCTACCCAAGCTGCGACACCCCACCACCCCCTGCCACACCCAAGCTGCCCCACATCCCCCACCTCTGCCTGGCACCCCAGCCCCCTCCAAGCTGCCTGGCCCTCCACTCCTCCCATTACCCAAGCTGCTGGCACCCCCCACTCCTCTCATACCGTAGCTGCCCCGCTACTCCCCTGCCCCCACCGCCACTTCCAAGCCACGATAGCAGCAGCCATTTACTCCCCATCCTAGACCACTTGCCAAACCCTGTTCCCCCCCACTACGATATAAACAACACTTTAAAACGGGGTTGGATAGCTCCCCTCCATCAGTGTGGGATTACGGCAGCCATCAAGTCAGTAAGCTGGTTGGATCCCTCAACAACCTCAGCCCAGTTTCTCCCCACTCACTCCTGGCTACCACCCACCCAAACCGATACCCAGGGTGGTGTCATGAGAATGGATGGTTCAACTTTTTGTCTACATTCTTAAGATACACTGACTCCCCTCCCCCCAAGTGGACCCATCCGGCAGTCACACCAGGCTGGATGACTGGCCTCCTGGCCCCCCGTCTGCTGGCACTACCAGATTGCCGCTGACTGGCCCCTGTCTGCTAGGCACTACCAGAGGTTGGCTGGTTGCCCTGCACCCCGTTTGCTAGGCACTACCAGATGGCTGCTGCCTGCCTGCACCGTTGCTAGGCACTACCAGGTGGCTGGCTCCCCGCCTGCACCCGTCTGCCATTACTTCGGGCTGTGGTGTGTCTGGGTGGCACCCATTCCCCTAGTCACTACCATGTGGCTGGCGGGCACCCGTCTGCTTGTGATACTGGGACACGTTGATGGCACCCATCTAAAATACTAGAAAACTAAATGACACTCTACGTATATACTTTGAATTAAGTGTCACTTCTAAAGCACTACTGAGCTCGGTGGCAATCTGCTGCAGGGCGAGTGAGGACCAGGCGACTACAGAATTACCACAATAATTCCGCTAATTTACATAATACTTCGTGCCAGCATAAGTATTGGTTCGCAAGTGGCACTACACTAGACCTATGGCTCTGAAACAGGTCTTATTTAGGTCTTAAGGCAAGTTTTGCATAATTAACCATATAAAACCATTACTGATTCGAACTGATGAAGCTTTACAAAACAATTTTTAGGCTGAGGTCACAATGTTAGGGACAAACCCCCTTGTACATTACGCCCTCGTTTAACGGGATAACCCAACCTAGTCGATGCAAAATAATGGGCACATGATAAGCGTTAACCGTTCGCTCATATAGCGCCTGGAACCCATGTTTAACAGGTAAGACACAGCAACAGTTAGGCAACTTTATTTCGGAATAAAGTGCCAAAACTGTTGCCTTTTGTGTCTTTGCCTAAACCCAAAGTGTCGTATTATTACCATTTTGATAAAGTTAATCAGGTGTTTAACATGAAGAGTAAGGAGGTGATATTGTTGAATCAACAGTGTGGCTCCACAGCATCGTGGTAACCCCGCCCTTGATGTTCGTGTGTACCTTCAAGAATGGCGTCACGTTTTCTTTGGGAAGTGACACACTGCTTGTAGGATTTACAGAGTTATGATTCAGCTTTATAGTGTCCTGCCCACACCATACAACCACTGCTGCCTGCAGCACAGCTGTACACTGTCCTGCCCACACCATACAACCACTGCTGCCTGCAGCACAGCTGTACACTGTCCTGCCCACACCATACAAACACTGCTGCCTGCAGCACAGCTGTACACTGTCCTACCTACACCATACAACCACTGCTGCCTGCAGCACAGCTGTACACTGTCCTGCCCACACCATACAACCACTGCTGCCTGCAGCACAGCTGTACACTGTCCTGCCCACACCATACAACCACTGCTGCCTGCAGCACAGCTGTACACTGTCCTGCCCACACCATACAAACACTGCTCCTGCAGCCAAAAGCTTTTACAATGTCTGCCCACACCATACAAAACTGCTGCTGCATCAAGCTGTACACTGTCCTGCCCCCAAACCCTACAACCATGCTGCCTGCAGCCAGCTGTACACTGTCTGCCCACAACATACAACCACTTTCTGCTGCACACAGCTGTACACTGTCCGCCCACACCATACAACATGCTGCCTGCAGCACAGCTGTACACTGTCCTGCCACACTATACAAACATGTGCCTGCAAAGCTGTACACTGTCCTGGGCCCCCACCCTACAACCACGCTTGCCGCACCAGCTGTACACTGTCTGCCACACATACAACCCCTGCTGCCCGCAGCACAGCGTTTCACTGTCCTGGCCCACACCATACAACCACTGCTGCCTTTCAGACAGCTGTTTCACTGTCCCTGCCCACACCCCTAAAAACCACTGCTGCCTGCGCAACAGCTGTACACTGTCCTGCCCACACCCTAACAACCACTGCTGCCTGCAGCACAGTGTTTCATGTCCTGCCACAAACCCTACAACCCCTGCTGCCTGAGCACAGCTGTAACTGTCTGCCACACCATACAACCAATGCTGCCTGCAGCACAGCTGTACACTGTCCTGCCCACACCATACAAACACTGCTGCCTGCAGCACAGCTGTACACTGTCCTGCCCACACCATAAACACTGCTGCCTGCAGCACAGGCTGTGCTTCACCTCACCTTTGGTTATGTACTTGTGTAACAATAAAATAACTCATAGTGGAGTTATCTAAGGGGGCCACTTTCTGCTACTAGCAAGTGCAGCAGCAGCAGGTGACGAGGCTGCTGCTGCTGCTGCTGCAGGAATCAATGTAGACAGATCCCAGCTGCTGCACCTGACATCAGCGGCACACTACCCCTCACCTCACATCTTACCAGTTTAATACACAGTTACCTTAATGCTGCCTCTGGTAGTGGGTCAAGTCAGAGAAGTGCGAGTGGTGGAAGTGCACTCACAACCTGTCATATATACAACAACAAAAATTCATCTTTGCCAGCTATGCCAGTGTCGTCTGCTAGTACAGTAACTAAAGCTTGGCTAGTAATAATGGACGGGTGCGAGGACCTCAGTATAACACCTTCACAATAAGAAAAACTGCAGGATTATGTACTTACTTTCCAAGTTCTTCCTTGAGCTCATAATTCTCGCTGAAGCGTGTGGAAGGTTGCGCCGCCATGTCGCTCAGTTGATCTTTATTTTCTTTCTCAGAGAGTATCACTACACACTCGCCTTCAACCGTTAACCTCCGACGTTTGGGGTACTTAGTGTACTTTACACAACGCAACTTACACACACAATCATTAGGAATGGTATTACCACCAAGAAGTGTATGGGCACCAGCCAGGATAGTGGGAGTGCACCAGCAGGACAACTTACTCTCTCGCACCGCTGTCCACTAAACCCACACAGTTGCCACCTCCTATTTGGACTCCACCGCCCGTCCTTGCCACTCCATGCAGAACACTCACCTGGAGAAACTTTTCCTCTAAATCGACATTTTTATCTAAATACACAAAATAACTGCAATTTCTTTTTTTATAATTATAATATGTTATTAATATCGACTTAATTAATTTTCTTAGATGTATATTTACAGTATTTATAAAAATTTCTTCCATATGTGTACTCTATATGCGCTGGCGCGCGAACACATTCTGTACTGTGTTCGCTTTCACACTGCGCGCGTCGTCTGCAAGATGCACCTGAGTGATAATTACTGATAATACTTCGCTCATATTGCTAGGATCTTTTCACAGTAATAATCCTTATAGCTTAGTATAGTGTAATATTTTCGAAAGAAATTATACTGCCAGTGTAGAAATATTTTCAAACAAAATTAATAGCATATGTTCCTATACTATTAATTCTCGCGACCGCACGTCAGGACATTCAAGTTGGCCTCAGCAATGCAAACTAAATTTTGAAAAACATTACGAATATCAGTGAAAACCCGCATAAGTGTTTGGGCGAGCGAGGAGACCCAGTGAGCAGCTATTGATTTTGTGTGCCAGACAGAGAAACGACTTCACTCACTTGCATTTGAAATCATTCAACTCTAGTTTATCCCTCACACAACTCATCCTCAAATTATACATCAAAATATAAAAAGCCAACAACGTATATTTATGGCAGTAAACAGGCGTCACTCTAGGCCTACCAGCAGCTGATTTCATTAACCAAAGTGTTCCATCAACTAATTCTTCTCGTTTTAAAGCGACTCCACGTTTAAGAAACATAGATAAAATTGAGTGTGTTAATGGTGATGTTGGTTCCTGCAGTTTGTGTAGTAAGTCATGTGTCAGGGATATGTCACCCCTTCCTCACAGTTTTCTCTTAAAAACATATGTTAGTATCTTGACACATAAACATTGAAACTGACACATTGACATATATTATTTACATGATCAGAGTGCCACGGTAGACGTCGAAATAGATGAAGAAACTACTGTCTTGTAAGGAGATTTTTTACCTAACATTTAACTAAACTCGGGTCTTCTAAAGAAGCCTAATATGTAAATATTAAATATATGCAGCGCCCACAAGCAGACGTTTGACACGTGTACAACAATGAGTTATTTTTATTATTGAAATGTTTCGCCTGTAAGGCGGAGGGAAACTATGTGGAGGTGAACTTTTCTCGAAGCTGAGGGACTGACCACCTCAAGAACTATGTAGAGGTGAACTCTTCTCGAAGCTGAGGGACTGACCACCTCAAGAACTATGTGGAGGTGAACTCTTCTCGAAGCTGAGGGACTGACCACCTCAAGAACTATGTGGAGGTGAACTCTTCTCGAAGCTGAGGATTTACCACCCCAAGAACTTTTGTAGAGGTGAAAATCTTCCCCGAAGCTGAGGGACTGACCACCTCAAGAACTTTAGGTGAACTCTTCTCAAAGCTCAGGGACTGACCACCTCAAGAACTATGTGGAGGTGAACTCTTCTCAAAGCTGAGGGACTGACCACCTCAAGAACTATGTGGAGGTGTACTCTTCTCGAAGCTGAGGGACCGACCACCTCAAGAACTATGTGGACGTGAACTCTTCTCGATGCTGAGGGACCGACCACCTCAAGAACTCCCTCAAGGTTAATGGACTGATCACATCTATATCTCCCCACTACTACTACTGCTCTCTTCGTATCTATTCTCTGTATTTGACTGAAGAAACCTACCCTGTAGGTGAAACGTTTAACAATAAAGATGTGCAAGAAAGGTATAAAATACCGACAATATGAAAGTTAAGACACATGTGCAACATCTGGATATCTTTATTGTAGTAGACGTTTCGCCATCCAAGTGGCTTTATCAATAAAAGATTCTAGGAATAATTTGGAAGAAGTAGAACTATATACAAAGATGAGGAATCAGTCCCTCGGCCTTGAGTTAGTGGGTTTACAGCTTCAAGGTGGAGGAGAATCTGACAAAGACAAGAGATGGCGGTTTATATAGGCTCAGTGGATAGGGACGGGCAGCGAGAGGCAAAAGTCATGGTTGGCGGGATTCCCCGTGGAAGTAGGCCTTCCCAAAGAGATGGGTTAGTTGAAACAGCCGTGAAAGAAGGTCTTGTAGAGTCCTCTGAACCAGATTTCCCTGATGTTGCAGTGTCTGACAAGTTGTGCAAGAAAGGTATAAAATCCCGACAATATGAAAGTTAAGACACATGCAACCTGGATATTTTTAAATTGTAGTAGACGTTTCGCCATCCAGTGACTTTATAAATACAGATTCTAGGACATAATAGGAAGACAGTAGAACTATATACAAAAGATGAGGTAATCAGTCCCTGGGCCTTGGAGTTAGTGTTCACAGCTTCATGGTGGAGGAGAACTGGAGCAAAGACAAGAAGACTGGCGGTTTATATAGGCGTCAGGGGATAGGACGGGCAGCAGACAAGGCAAAGTCACTGGAAACGGGATTCCCCAGTGGAAGTAGGTCCTTCCCCAAAGAGATGGGTTGTTGCACGCAGCCGTGAAGAAGGTCTTGTAGATGTCCTCTGAACCAAGATTCCATGATGTTGCAGTGTCTGACAAGTTTGTGCAAGAAAGGTATAAAATACCGACAATATGAAAGTTAAGACACATGTGCAACATCTGGATATCTTTATTGTAGTAGACGTTTCGCCATCCAGTGGCTTTATCAATACACTGCAACATCATGGAATCTTGGTTCAGAGGACATCTACAAGACCTTCTTCACGGCTGCTGCAACTAACCCATCTCTTTGGGAAGGACCTACTTCCACTGGGGAATCCCGCCTACCAGTGACTTTGCCCTCGTCTGCTGCCTGTCCCTATCCACTGACGCCTATATAAACCGCCAGTCTTCTTGTCTTTGCTCCAGATTCTCCTCCACCATGAAGCTGTGAACACTAACTCCAAGGCCGAGGGACTGATTACCTCATCTTTTGTATATAGTTCTACTGTCTTCCTATTATGTCCTAGAATCTGTATTGATAAAGCCACTGGAGGGCGAAACGTCTACTACAAAAAAAAGATATCCAGTGTTACACAGTGTCTTAACTTTCATATTGCGGTATTTTATACCTTTCTTGCACAACTTGTCAGACACTGCAACATCATGGAATCTTGGTTCAGAGGACATCTACAAGACCTTCTTCACGGCTGCTGCAACTAACCCATCTCTTTGGGAAGGACCTACTTCCACTGGGGAATCCCGCCTACCAGTGACTTTGCCCTCGTCTGCTGCCTGTCCCTATCCACTGACGCCTATATAAACCGCCAGTCTTCTTGTCTTTGCTCCAGATTCTCCTCCACCATGAAGCTGTGAACACTAACTCCAAGGCCGAGGGACTGATTACCTCATCTTTTGTATATAGTTCTACTGTCTTCCTATTATGTCCTAGAATCTGTATTGATAAAGCCACTGGCCATGTAGTCACAAACTGTAAGGCTGGAGATGATGTCCTGGTAGTCAGTAAATGGGGGGCTGATAGTGCTGTCCTGGGAGACAGTAATGGGGAAGCTGGAGGTGCTGTCCTGGGAGACAGTAATGGTGAAGCTGGAGGTGCTGTCCTGGGAGACAGTAATGGTGAAGCTGGAGATGCTGTCCTGGGAGACAGTAATGGGGAAGCTGGAGATGCTGTCCTGGGAGACAGTAATGGTGAAGCTGGAGATTTTGTCCTAGTCGGGAATTATACGCAGGAAAAATACATATAAATGACCCCATAGGGACAGGAGCCATAGTAAGGGAAACAAGTGTAGTCAAAGATAAGAAAACCAATATTGCAAACTAGAAATAACCGCAGGAAATAGCAAACAAGAGGACTCCACTAGCAAAGTGAGGATTATTACCAAAAACAAATGGTGGAGCTCCATTGTTGGTGCTAGGGAGGATAGAAGTAAGACCGGAAAAAATGCACCAACAGGGAATACAGTCACAGAAACCCAAGGGAAACGGGAAAACCCAAACCTGTGCACATACTATGCACTCGTATCTTTCTGGCATGGGAAATCTGGAAAAACAGATGGGGACGTGGGAAAATATGACCACCCTAGGAAATTTCCATGCCCAAATGACAACAGGAAAATGCAAACTCCCTTCCTGTAAGCTTTTTCCCAAAAAACCCCGACTGTGTAACCTCTTCAGTACAGGAAAGACTGTTGCTATAACTTAAAATTGCCAGGCATAAAAAATCTAAAGGGGACAAAAAGATACAAAACATCCAGGCCATGGGAAAACCTGGTAGCCCAGCCACTCAAGAGGGAAGGTTTTTTTAGTGCCAGGAAGGGGAAAAAAAAACTGGCAGGAAATGGCCCGAAATCGTACACCAAATCCAGTCATTCCTGGGGTGGAACCACAGTCGATGGCCCCCACTCCAAACCAACAGATACAGATACTAATGCCGGGAAAAAATCCCCCCCCAGTAAACAATACCACCAGTCCGAAAAACATCTTCTTTGCAAAATACAGGGTCTAAAGCCAGCAACAAACAACAAAATACCTTTCATCCGTGGACTGCTTGCAGAGGCAAAGGCAATGTTCGCGGCTTTCACTGAGACCCACATAAAGGACACTTTTGGGCAACGAAATATGGATCCCAGGTTACAACCTATACAGATGTGACAGAGTGAACAGGCCCAAAGGGGGGGGTTGGCCTGTACATTGCAGAGTCACTTGTTTGCACAGAACTGCTAAATGCCTCAAATGATGTAGTGGGAAATTTTTTGCATAAAGGTCGAGAAACCCAAAAACCCAGTCATTGTGATAGTCTACAAGC